TCTGAGTGCATGTGTTTGTGAGTGGCTGCACGAGAGCATGCAAGCCTGACGGGGTGTGTCACAGCGCGTATATGCCCATGCCCAGTTCTGGTCCCCAAATGCAGTGTGACCTTAGGCATTTCACATTCCCTCTCTGGACTTCAGTTTCCTCCACAGTAAAATGAGGAGATTCAGTGGGCAGTAAAGCCTATGCTAAGGTCTGCATAATGTCAACTGGGAGCCTCTCTGCCCCTTGAAATTCAGGCGAAATTGCTTTGAACCCAACTGTCCCACTGGCCAGTGGACACCAAAGACCTCAAAGATTGTCTAAATCCCAGGAAGCCTCCTCTGCTTCAGGCTCAGGTTTTCTTTTTTTTTCTTTTGTTTTTTGAGATGGACTCTCACTCTCTTGCCTAGGCTGGAGTGCAGTGGCATGATATTGGCTCACTGCAACCTCTGCCTCCTGGTTTCAAGAGATTCTCCTGCCTCAGCCTCCCAAGTAGCTAGGACCACAGGTGTCGTGGACCGTTCCGGGACGGGTAGGCACGTCTGCCGGGGGTCTCTCGACCTGCAAGAGGGTCCCAATACCTGGAAGAGGGAGTGCGCCTGGAAAAATAATAAAGACAGAGAGAGAGAGAAAGCGAGGCGTCCGGAGGGCTGATAGGCTGTGCCTAAACAGCAAATTTTATTTTTCAAAGGCCAGGAATAAATACACTTTCTTGGCTCTGGTCATAGCAAGAGGAAATGCAAATGTATGCCTCACATGGCCTATACAATAGAGAAGTCAGATATGTAATCAGTGGTTGTAAAAAGTAACAGAATTTCCTGTAATCACAAAGCTTGTTTACATCCAAACATTATTCCTCCTGACCATCCTGGTCAATCACGAGGTCAAGAGATCGAGACCATCCTGGTCAACGTGGTGAAACCCCGTCTCTACTAAAAATACAAAAAATTAGCCAGGCATGGTGGCGTGTGCCTGTAGTCCCAGCTACTCAGGAGCCTGAGGCAGGAGAATTGCTTGAACCCAGGAGGCGGAGGTTGCGGTGAGCCGAGATCGTGCCATTGTACTCCAGCCTGGGTAACAAGAGTGACATTCTGTCTCAAAAAAAAAAAAAAAAAAAAAGAGTCATAAAAAGGTTAAAAGCAGGAACCGGTTGCCGGCAGGGGGTCACTCGGTCTAGCAGCAACGCATAGTTTTAGGCCCAAAGGATACTGTGGTTGATATTAGAAACTGATCATTCATCTTTCAGATCCTATATTTCCGGATAGCTCGACTGCCTCCAGTAGGAAACTGTGTTTGGGATCAAACTCACCGAATAGTGAGACTCACGCCTTTTGGGGGTCTCACACGGGAATGTTCCCCACACACAGGTGTGTGCCACCATCCCTAATTTTTTGTATTTTTAGTAGAGATAGGGTTTCACCCTGTTGGTCAGGCTGGTCTCAAACTCCCAACCTCAAGTGATTCACCCACCTCAGCCTCTCAAAGTGCTGGTATTGCAGGTATGAGCCACCTTGCCCGGCCTCCAGGCTCAGGTTTTCTATTCCATTCCACAAATTCAATATGAAGCTCATGCCCTTTAGTTCCCATAATAAGCAGTCATGGGCATTCACTGAACTTTTGTGAGGTTGGTAGACTTGACTGGGGGACACCAGCTTCTTCCCTCCTCTTCCTCTCTGACCACTGCTCCTTGTACCTCTTTCCAGACCCTTCTTCCTCTTTTAAGCAGAGCAGCTTTCCCAGCCTCTGAAGCCCTGTTTCTGCAGATTCCCAACCACCAGGGACCTCATCTTCAACCCCCAATTCTTTTTTTTTTTTTGAGACAGAGTCTTGCTCTGTCACCAGGCTGGAGTGCAATGGCACGATCTTGGCTCACTGCAACCTCCACCTCCTGGGTTCAAGCAATTCTCCTGCCTCAGTCTCCCAAATAGCTAGGACTACAGGTGCCTGCCACTACGCCCAGCTAATTTTTGTATTTTTTAGTAGAAACGGGGTTTCACCATGTTGGCCAGGATGGTCTTGATCTCTTGACCTCATGATCCACCTGCCTTGGCCTTCCAAAGTGCTTGGATTACAGGCTTGAGCCACTGAGCCTGCCCCCCTACTCCCCCACCCCCAGTTCTTATTAAAGAACACAAGAACAGCTCTCTCACTGAGAATTCTGGCACATTCTCCACTACTTTGTACATATGTGATAGACGTATGTGTGTAGTTGTTTATGACTACAGGTGTGCCTGTAACCTAGTGTGTTTGTGATGGGCAGTGGGAGAGGGGTAGATGGAAAATAGTTCCGAGACATTATCCACTACCTTGTACTTATGTTTGTACCTCGCTGTGTACGTGACGGGGGCAGTGGGAAAGGAAGCGCCATAGGGGAAATTAGTCCATGTGTTTGTGTCTCTGTGTCTCTTTTTTCCAAATACAGAGTTAACTCCCAAGAGCATGTACCCAAACACCAGCTTTGTGCAAATTCTCAAAATATCTATTTGTAGTAAGACTCGGCCCAGGTACCACCTCGCTCTGGAAACCCTTCCTCCTAGCCTTGGGCTGAACTAACTGTCCCTGCTCTGTCTTGCACAGTCCCTGTATGCCCCTCCAGCAGAGCTTTTGTCACATTCTACTGACATTGCCTGTTTTTTTCGCCTGCCCCATCTCTATAGTGAAACTTCTAGAGGACAGCGACCATGGCTCACTTCCTTTCAGCATCCCAGCACCCAGAATATTCACAATCTGTGTGTGGACTGGGCTGGCCTGGCTTCACACACTCTCAGTGAGATACTCTCAATGGCTACACACCCCTATGCCCACTGCCCTGCTCCGGAATGTGGGGTAAACCAACCCATATACCAAGGAGCTTTTCTCTTGGGGTCATCACCTAAGGACCTTCCCCTGGCCAGGGGAAGCTCGCTCTAACCCTGAAGATGGAGGCAGCCTGGGATACAGGGTGTGGGCAGCACCCTGGCTGACCCCCTGCACCCTCCACTGCAGGGACACACCTCCTCTTTTCCGTACTTTCTGGCCCTGGCGCGAACCTTGTTGGCACCAATGGGCTTTTAATATTTTCCATTCCTGGCTGGGATACAACATTTCACCTCAAAAATGCTTCCTCCCCCTCACCAAAGGGCGTGTCTTTCCAGTGAGAGGAACCGGAGCATGGATGTGGAGGTCTGGACGCACCCGCGCTCTGGGGCTTGGAGGAGCCACAGCCTAGCCCTGGAGAAAGAGGTAGCAGAAATGTCTTCCCAGCCAGTGAAGTGAGTTCCCAGGCTGGCCTGAGGTCTCCTGGACCCACAGGAAGACTAGAGCCTCAGTGACAAAGCAGGGGGCCACCTGCCTGCTTCCATCTGAGACTCAGCCCCAACCCTCCACTTGCCCTCTGACCTTGGCCAAGTCTTTTCACCTCTCTGAGCCCCCACATCCCATCTGAACGGTGGGGATAATGACAGTGTCTATCTTTCAAGGCCCTTGTGGGGCTCTCATGCTGCACATCCAGGTCATCTGGGGAGCTTTAAAAAACACCCATGGCCGGGCGCGGTGGCTCAAGCCTGTAATCCCAGCACTTTGGGAGGCCGAGGCAGGTGGATCACGAGGTCAAGAGATCGAAACCATCCTGGTCAACATGGTGAAACCCTGTCTCTACTAAAAATACAAAAAAAGTAGCTGGGCATGGTGGCACGAGCCTGTAATCCCAGCTACTCAGGAGGCTGAGGCAGGAGAATTGCCTGAACCCAGGAGGCAGAGGTTGCGGTGAGCCGAGATCGCGCCATTGCACTCCAGCCTGGGTAACAAGAGCGAAACTACGCCTCAAAAAAAAAAAAAAAAAAAAAGAATTAAACGTGGAGCGAGCCAGTTGTCTGTGCTGGGGGAGGAGGGTGTTTGGGTGCTTCGTGGAAAGGGCCAACGTCTGCTTTCCTGCTCTTGAGGAGAAAGGATCTGCAGACAGTTCCACAGCCCAGAGGGAGGAAAACAGCCTGACAGCCAGGTCCCTTGGGAAAAGGCAGCAGAGAGCGCCATAGGCCAAAGATGCTCAGTCTCTCACATAACCAGTGTGTCCACCCGCCCCGGTGCCATATCCCAGAGTTATCATGTCATTGCACAGAAGAAAGAACAGCCACTGTCCGGGGGAGGCACAGCCCCTGCCTCAGGGAGCTTCACCCAAAATCCAGGCCCCCAGGAGAGGGCCAGAACCCCTGGAGTCCCAGGCCCAAGGTTCTTCGTTACGGCTATTTAACCTGGGGACCAGAGACCCCCATGGGAGACTTCAGCCCCAGGAGGAAGCGGCTGTTTTCCTCAGGAAACTGTGGGTAAGAAACAGGAGCTTTCTGGAGACACCGTTTCTCACAGCCCTGTGTCCCAGGTTTCCGGCCAGAGGTGGAAAGGAGAGGGACGGAGTGATGGGGAGCACGGTGCAGAGCACTGCAAGGCAGCAGGGATGAGGGGCGGTCAGCAGCGCCACCAGACTGAGCCCTAAATGAGGGGAGTCCAGGAGAGGAGGCTCGCACAACCCACCACTTGGGGTAGTTGCCACCCAGGCTCATTTTTCCAACTGAGGGCACACTGAAAGGAGGGTAAACTAAAAAGTATGGGCACAGGGGAACGCAGGTCCCCTGGGCTGGGCTACAGAAGCACCTACTGGCTTCTACAGCAGCAGCTGGCACCTGTACAGGTCACCTTAGAAAGTGCTTTCGCAGGCTGGGCGCAGCGGCTCACTCCTGTAATCCCGGCATTTTGGGAGGCCGAGGCGAGCAGAACACATAGTCAGGAGCTCGAGACACACCCTTTGGTGAGGGGGTGGCATATGCCTGTAATCCCAGCCACCTTTGAGGAATTTACCCCATCGCTGGGGAGATAGAATGGTCACTATAGAGCACTAAGGTAAATGTAGGGACAATAATATGCCTGGGTTAGTGCCGAGTACCTGTTTTAGGCCCCTTCTGGGGCAGCATTCTGAGGGTAGCTGTCAGGGAAGGCTTCCTGGAGGAGGTATAATCATTTGAGTTTAAAAAAATGAATGGCAGTGTTCACTGCGGCAGCGCATGTGCTGACACTGGAACAATACAGAGACGATTAGCATGGCCTCTGCACAAGGATGATATGCAAACTTGTGAAGCGTTCTATATTTTCATAAGAAAAACAGGCTGGGCATGGTGGCTCACGCCTGTAATCCCAGCACTTTGGGAGACCAAGGCAAGCAGATCACTTGAGGTCAGGAGTTTGAGACCAGCCTGGCCAACATGGCAAAACCCCATCTCTACCGAAAATACACAAAATTAGCCAGGTATGGTGACACACGCCTGTAATCCCAGCTACTTGGGAGGCTGAGGCAGGAGAATCGCTTGAAATCAGGGGGCAGAGGTTGCAGTGAGCCAAGAATCAGCCACTGCATTCTAATCTGGGTGACAGAGTGAAACTCTGTCTCACAAAAAAAAAAAGAAAAAAGAAATGGTCCCGGCCGGGCGCGGTGGCTCAAGCCTGTAATCCCAGCACTTTGGGAGGCCGAGGCGGGTGGATCACGAGGTCGAGAGATCGAGACCATCCTGGTCAACATGGTGAAACCCCGTCTCTACTAAAAATACAAAAAATTAGCTGGGCATGGTGGCACGTGCCTGTAATCCCAGCTACTCAGGAGGCTGAGGCAGGGGAATTGCCTGAGCCCAGGAGGCAGAGGTTGCGGTGAGCCGAGATCGTGCCATTGCACTCCAGCCTGGGTAACAAGAGCGAAACTCCGTCTCAAAAAAAAAAAAAAAAGGCCGGGCGCGGTGGCTCAAGCCTGTAATCCCAGCACTTTGAGAGGCCGAGACGGGTGGATCACAAGGTCAAGAGATCGAGACCATCCTGGTCAACATGGTGAAACTCCGGCTCTACTAAAAAATCCAAAAAAATTAGCTGTGCATGGTGGCACGTGCCTGTAATCCCAGCTACTCAGGAGGCTGAGGCAGCAGAATTGCCTGAACCTGGGAGGCGGAGGTTGCGGTGAGCCGAGATTGTGCCATTGCACTCCAGCCTGGGAAACAACAGCGAAACTCCGTCAAAAAAAAAAAAAAAAAAAAAAAAAAAAAGAAATGGTCCCAGGAGAAACCAGTAGGAAATAGGAGAAGCAGGATAGGGAAGAGGAAGAGGTCAAGAAAGGAAGCAATTTTGTGTGAAACTACATAAGTTTGACCCTGTGGTTAGCTCAGGGGCATAAATGGCATCTCAGAGTTTGTCCCTGCTCAATATAAAGCAGCTAGTTTTTTTTTTTTTTTTTTTTTTTTTGAGACGGAGTTTCACCCTTGTTAGCCAGGCTGGAGTGCAATGGCACGATCTCGGCTCACCGCAACCTCCGCCTCCTGGGTTCAAGCAATTCTCCTGCCTCAGCCTCCTGAGTAGCTGGGATTACAGGCACGTGCCAACCATGCCCAGCTAATTTTTTGTATCTTTAGTAGAGACGGGGTTTCACCATGTTGACCAGGATGGTCTCGATCTCTCGACCTTGTGATCCACCCGCCTCGGCCTCCCAAAGTGCTGGGATTACAGGCTTGAGCCACCGTGCCCGGCCCTGTTTTTTTTTTTTTAAGAGACGGGGTCTCGCTATGTTGCCCAGGCTGGAGTGCAGTGGCTATTCACAGGCGCAGTCCCACTACTGATCAGCACAGGAGTTTTGACCTGCTCTGTTTCCGACCTGGGCTGGTTCACCCCTCCTTAGGCAACCTGGTGGTCCCCCGCTCCAGGGAGGTCACCATATTGATGCCGAACTTAGTGCGGACACCCGATCGGCATAGCGCACTACAGCCCAGAACTCCTGGGCTCAGGTGATCCTCCCACCTCAGCCTCCCAAGTAGCTGGGACTACAGGCATGTGTCACCGCACCCGGCTAGATTTTTTTTGTGGGGGAACAGAGTCTTGCTCTGTTGCCTAGGCTGAAGTGCAGCACCATGACCCAGCTCACTGCAGCCTCGAAATCCCAGGATCAAGTGATCCTCCCACCTTAGACTCCTGAGTAGCTAATTTAAAAAAATAATTTTAAAAATGTATATTATCAATAATTATTAAAATTTTTAAAAACACTTTTTGTAGAGACAGGGTCTCTCTAAGTTGACAGGGTTGGTCTAAACTGCTGGACTCGAACGAGCCTCCCGCCTCAGTCTCCCAAAGTGCTGGGATTACAGGCACGTTCTACCATGGCCGGCCTGAATTTTGTATTCCCATAGCAGCTGGCTATTGGCCAGGGGGCAGGAGTCTGCAGTGGTGCATGGGGAATAAATACTCATAGACACTTCCAGTTCTCCTAAGTACAGGAAGGCTTGCAACAGCATGCAACATTTTGAATGTGTGTACGTGTGTTTTTCTGGGGACAAGGTCTATAATTTTCATCAGATTTTTTTTTTTTTTTTTTTTTTTTTTTTTTTTTTTTTTTGAGACAGAGTTTCGCTCTTGTTACCCAGGCTGGAGTGCAATGGCGCGATCTCGGCTCACCGTATCCTCCGCCTCCTGGGTTCAGGCAATTCTCCTGCCTCAGCCTCCTGAGTAGCTGGGATTACAGGCATGCGCCACCATGCCCAGCTAATTTTTTGTATTTTTAGTAGAGATGGGATTTCACCATGTTGACCAGGAAGGTCTCGATCTCTTGACCTTGTGATCTACCCGCCTCGGCCTCCCAAAGTGCTGGGATTATAGGCTTGAGCCACCGCGCCCGGCCCTCCATCAGATTTTTTAAAGGAATCCATGTTGTAGGTCATGTCCTCCCAGAAGCAAACCCTGAGATGAAGAGTCATATGTCAGTTTATAAAGAAGTGGTCCCAGGGGGCCAAGCACAGTGGCTCACGCCTGTAATCCCAACACTTTGGGAGGCCGAAGAGGGCAGATCATCTGAGGTCAGAAGATTGAGACCAGGCTGGCCAATATGGCAAAATCCCATCTCTACTAAAAATATAAAAAGTAGCCGGGCATAGTGGTAATAGGGGCACCTGTAATCCTAGCTACTCTGGAGGCTGCAGCAGGAGAATCTCTTAAACCCAGGAGGCGGAGGTTACAGTGAACTGAGATCACGCCACTGCAATCCAGCCTGGGTGACAGAAGAAAAAAAAAACTTAGTTGGTCACAGTGGCCTGTACTGTAGTCTCAGCTAGTTGGGGTGCTGAGACACAAGAATCACTTGAACTCGGGAGGGGAAGTTTGCAGTGAGCCAAGATCGTGCCACTGCACTCTAGCCTGGGCAACAGAACAAGACTCTGTCTTAAAAAAAAACCGGGCCGGGCACGGTGGCTCAAGCCTGTAATCCCAGCACTTTGGGAGGCCGAGGCGGGTGGATCACGAGGTCGAGAGATCGAGACCATCCTGGTCAACATGGTGAAACCCCGTCTCTACTAAAAATACAAAAAATTAGCTGGGCATGGTGGCACGTGCCTGTAATCCCAGCTACTCAGGAGGCTGAGGCAGGAGAATTGCCTGAACCCAGGAGGCGGAGGTTGCGGTGAGCCGAGATCGCGCCATTGCACTCCAGCCTGGGTAACAAGAGCGAAACTCTGTCTCAAAAAAAAAAAAAAAACAAAAAACAAAAAACAAAAAACTGATGAAAGGAATACAAGGAGAAAATCTGCGCAGGGCACCAAAGTGTCCAGTATAGTTCAGGTTCCAAAAGAGTCAGGAATCACTGATCTAGTCCAATTCACCTCATTTTGTAGACTTAGAAACTGGGTACACTTCTCGTAGTATGGTGGTTCAGGTATCCTGACTAACCTTCCTTCTGGAACTACAAATTCTAGATAAAATAAAAAATCTTAAATGCACTGATGGCCAGGTGGAATGGCTCATGCCTGTAATCCCAACACTTTGGGAAGCCGAGGTGGGTGGATCACGAGGTCAAGAGATTGAGACCATCCTGGCCAACATGGTGAAACCTCCTATTCTACTAAAAATACAAAAATTAGCTGGCCGTGGTGGCACGTGCCAGTAATCCCAGCTACTCAGGAGGCTGAGACAGAAGGATCGCTTGAAGCCAGGAGTCGGTGGTTGCAGTGAGCTGAGATCAAGCCACTGTACTCTAGCCTGGCGACAGAGCAAGACTTGGTCTCAAAAAAAAAAAAAAAAAAAAGTACTCATGAGCTGACATTAAAGTAAGTAATACTCCAGCCAAAAAGAAGGAAAAGCTAGAATCCAGACAGTAAACTGAACAATGAAATCAGCTTTTACCTTAAAGATATTGTTTGAACCTAGTGAACCTGAGCTTCAAGTTTTTCAGCCTATGGAAAAAGGACAGGAGAGATAGTAACAACAAAAGAATCCATGCTTCAAATAATCATTAGCAGGAAGAATTATCCTGCTTTGGTGTCAGTAGACTGATGGTAACCCTCCCTGTGGGGTCAGACCTGGAACTATTAGGTTGATGCAAAAATAATTACGGTTTTTACCATTAAAAGCAATGGTAAAAACTGCAATAATGGCCGGGTGCGGTGGCTCAAGCCTGTAATCCCAGCACTTTGGGAGGCCGAGGCGGGTGGATCACGAGGTCGAGAGATCGAGACCATCCTGGTCAACACGGTGAAACCCCGTCTCTACTAAAAATACAAAACACTAGCTGGGCGTGGTGGCGCATGCCTGTAATCCCAGCTACTCAGGAGGCTGAGGCAGGAGAATTGCCTGAGCCCAGGAGGCGGAGGTTGCGGTGAGCCGAGACCGCGCCATTGCACTCCAGCCTGGGTAACAAGAGCGAAACTCCGTCTCAAAAAAAAAAAAAAAAAAACCTGCAATTATTTTTGCACCAACCTAATATTTTTCTGAAGTACAGCCACTCAGAGGAGAGCAGACATGGTGGGGCTGTTAGAAAGGAGGAAGTAGGTATGGCTGTTGGGTAGCCAAGCAGCAGGCCTGCTTCACTGAGGTAAGCATTCACCTCCTAGTCCTAACTTCTATCCTCACTAGACTCACGTGTGAGTCCCAGGTACTCGGGAGGCTGAGGCAGGAGAATCACTTGAACCCTGGAGGAAGAGACTGCAGTGAACCGAGATTGCGCCACCTCATTCCAGCCTGGGCAACAGAGGGAGGCTCCATCTCAAAAAAAAAAAAAAAAAAAAAAAATGCGAATAGGTTAGACAATAAAAAATTTAAAAATAAAAACAAAATGAAAGTGTCCAGCTGGGCACAGT